AGACAAATTGTGGTATATCCATACAATGGAATATTATTCAGCCATAATAAAGAACAAACTACTGGGATTCCCTGGTGGTCCAGTGGTTAGGACTCAGCGCTTTCACTGTGGTGGCCTGGGTTCAATCCCTGGTCGGGGAACTAAGATTCTGCAAGCCGTGCAGCGCAACCGAAAAAGAAAAGAAAAGAAAAGAATAAAGTACTGATACATGCTACCACGTAGATGAACCTCAAAAACAGTATGCTAAGCAAAAGAAGCTGATACCAAGTTCATATATTGTATGATTCCACTTTTATGAAATATCTGGCATAGGTGGATCCATAGAGACAAGATTGATGGTCTCCAGCAGGTGAGGGGAGGGGTGGTGGTCAGGGTAGGTCCCTGACTAGGAATCAAAGCCCGGCCCCCTGCATTGGGAGTGCGGAGTCTTAGCCACTGGACCGCCAGGGAAGTCCCAATCACACTTCTTAGTATTAGGAATCTACATAACTTCACAGAACAAAGAACCTCAGGAAAATTAACAACGATGTTCTTGCCCATCGCCAGTCTCTCCAGGTCTCTGGAGGACAGGGGAAGAGATGTTACACATTTGAAGACTCGTCTGTGTCTGTCCTGTTTGGTCACTTAGGGCCACTCTTTCCCTGCACTAACATTTCTAGAGGAGTCCACTGTGTCAGTGAATGCAGTTTGCTTAGGCATGAATCCTGCTGTTGTACTTTGTGGCTGATAAGCCACACTTCCAGCTTCACTATAGGAAACAGGATCATTTTATGAGCGTGTCAAGTTAATCATAGGTGGTAGGTCAATTAGAAAAAAAAATTATTCTCCAAATGACCATTTTTCCAAATTCGCAAACATTTCCATTTTACCATAAACTTGTTTCTTAGAGCTATCTGTTAAATTTTCAGCAATTTTTATCAGATGGTACAGTGGTTTTAAAACATGTCCACAAAGTTTTTAGTATGTTTCCTTACGAGAGGTGGCGCCCAATTCTTCTCCCCTTGAGTGTGGGCTCAACTTAGTGACTGGCTTCCAATGAACAGAGTGAAACAGAAGTGACATGTGCAACTTCTGAGATTAGATAATGAAAGATATTGGGGCTTCCTCTTTGCTCTCTCTTGCATCACTCTCTCTGGGAGAAGCCAGCTGACATGTCAGGACACTCAAGCAGCCCTATAGCGAGGTCCACATGGTGAAGAACGGAGGCTTCCTGCCAACAACCAGCACTAAGTGAGCCACCTGTAAGTGAGCCACCCTGGAAGCCTGTCCTCCAGACCAGATCATGCCTTCGGATGACTACAGCCCCAGCTGACCGCCTGACTGCAGTCTCATGACACACCCTGAGCCAGAATCATTCATTTAAGCTGCTCCCAGATTCCTGACCCACAAAAACTGTGGGAAATAATAAATGTTTATTTTTTTTTAGTCACTGGGTTTTAGGATAATTTGTTATATAGCAATAGGTAATGAATATAGATGGACAGATTTAACAGCTTTTGCGGATTTCTGCAAAGTTTGAATATAATGCCTTTCATGTGGCCTTCATAGCAGCATTTTAAGGAATCTTCATTTGTCTCTGCCCAAGCTCTCTGTAGCTGCAGTGGCAGGGAGTAGGGGCAAGGAGGGGGGACCTGGTGAGGAAACTTGCTGGAGGTCACCATGCTACATGGCCTAGACTGCCCATCCTTGGGAGAAGAGGGGATGGGGAGGGGGTGGGGCAGAGAAAGGGAGGGCAAGGGTCAGAGAAGGGGACCAACCAAGGGCAGAAAGTGGTACTGAGGGGCCGAGAGAGGCTGAGACCCCTGAGAACTCAGAAGTTCCGGCTTCTCCCAGCTCTCCTAGGCCCTACCAATACAACCAAGAGGAACTGCTATGCACTTTAAATATTTTAAACATTTAAAGTAAACATTTTCAGTAAATTGGTAATTTGGTGAATTGGGTACTCAGCAAATTGGTCATCTGGCCAGTTGATTTTTGGGTAAGCATACACTTGGCAAATTAATTTACAATAATTTGTCTGTTTCTAATTAAGTCATACATAGTAATTTTTATGTTCCTAAGGTAATAATTTATTTGTAACAGATACTAATATATGTACACACACATATATATTTCAAATTCCCAACAGAATTAATTTCTCCTTCCAAAAAATGTTGTGACTTTGACATTTCTCTTCTCCAGGGAGGGAGACCAGTGAGTGAATACTTCTGTGGCTTTAGACTGCTCGTCATGATTAAGTCCCTGCCTGCCACTAATTCCATTATAAATCGAGATAAATTCCAGGCAGGACCACTTTGGAGAAGTCCTCCCTTAATTTTAATTTTGACTCTTTTAGACTGAATGGAATCATCATTAAAAGAAATTCTGAAGTCTTAATTCCATGAAAAAAAAAACCAAAACCAAACAATCCTCAGAAATTAGCAGATGTAAGTGTCAGAACCCTTTCCCTGGTTATTTCTACTTCAAAGTGAAGAACAGACAAGAATGGGCAATCAGAATCTGCTGCAGTGGGGACCAGAAAGCCATTACTTGGTCCCAGGTTTCCTCTTCCACTCTTTTGTAGGAACCTGGAAGGGCAGGGCTTTCCCCACGACCTTCAACGTGGGGCTCCCTGACCCACCCCTCCTCCAGGGGCTCCTGCATGGGTATGGAGGAGATGTAATGTTACAAAACCCAGCTTGGCCAGACAAACATATTTCAGGAAACTGCATGAAAATATGGAGAAAGGGGAGAAAAAGGAAGAAAGAGAAGCTTATCCCACCTAGACAGACATGGAGCCACCACAACATATGTGCCCCACACGGCCCACTGCAGTGGTTTTAAAACTTGGCCACAAAATCATTTGATCCCCCTCCCATCAAGATGTGGGATCTACTTGCTTCCTTTGAATCTGGCCAGGAAGTGATGCTATGTGACTTAAGAAGCTAGGTTGGGCTTCCTTGGTGGCACAGTGGTTAAGAATCCGCCTGACAATGCAGGGAACACAGGTTCGATCCCTGGTCCAGGAAGATCCCACATGCCGCGGACCAACTAAGCCCCTGCACCACAACTACTGAGCCTGTACTCTAGAGCCGCGAGCCACAACTACTGAGCCCGCGTGCCTAGAGCCTGTGCTCTGCAACAAGAGAAGCCACTGCAATGAGAAGCCCGTGCACCGCAACGAAGAGCAGCCCCCGGTCGCTGCAACTAGAGAAAGCCTGCACACAGCAACAAAGACATAACACAGCCAAAAATAAAATAAATAAAATAAATAAATTTATTATAAAAAAAAACCTAGGTCAGGAAAGGCTATTCAGCTTCAGTCTGCAATGTCTTGGAAGCTCACTCAGGATTCCTCTTGGAATCTGGCCACCAAGCTGAGAGAAGCCTAAGCTACAGGGAGAGGCCACATGTAGGTGCTGCAGTGCACAGTCCCAGCTCTGAGTCCCACCTTCAAGACCCAGAAGATCCCAGCCTCCTTGTGCTGCTCAAGGCTTGGTCTTGGGTGAGGCAAGTGAAACATTTGCCTCTGATGCAAAATTTAAGGGAGAGATCAAAATCTAGTAATCAAGATAGATACTTTTTAATGCAATTTAAAAAATCAATGCAAAAAAAATGAATGAAGAACGACCTATCAAAATGTTAAATAAAAACAGTAAGAGTCATATTGGAGCCATATTGGAGCCTGAGACAAAAGGAAAAATCAGTAAGAGTGATCCTCACTCGAGTTCCTGCTGTGGTCCCAGCTGTCTTCCAGCTGAGGCCCCAGGAATCATGGAGCAGAGGTAATCCATCTCTGCTGTGTCATGTTCAAATTCCTGACCTACATAACATGTGAGAATAAAATAGTGATAGTTTTACAACACTAAAACTGGGGTGACTTGTTATAAGAAATAGGTAGCCAGAATACCCCCCCCCCCCGCTCGAGAGCCTTATCATCTCCTACCTTCCTTCTCCTTTTCCTCCTCCGAACCTTGCGCCTTGCCCTAAGAACTCTCAGAAAGTAAAGAGTCACTTAAGATACACAGCTTCCACTTAGCCATCTGGGCTGAAAAAACTAGGTATTTCAAGTTTTATTCCCAATATGATGGAAGAAAATGGAAAAATGAGGAGCTAGAGGGGAACTTGGGGTCAAGGAGGTGGCCTGTGACGGGAGTAGGGACACTCTGTTGTAATGGGAAAGAGAGTAGAGGAGGTGGGTAACAGGCCAGGCAGGTTGGTAGGTGTGGAGGGGGGAAGGTCTCACTGGAAAAGGAGGTGAGGTCATCTCCTGGCTCCTCCATCACGGACGCCCACTGCGAGGGAAAGTGTCACCAGGCCCACCGAACCTCTCCACCTCCTGTTTTCACGGGACTCCCCCTGAGAATCCACTTTCCCTGGAGCCTTCTCAGGGAAGGATGTCGTCCCCCGCCCCATGCAGCACGCAGGGTAGAGAGCACGGCCTCCGTAACTTCCTCCTTCCAAACCATTCCTTTTTCTCCTCAAATACAAACAAACAAACACAGACAAAACCCTAGTACTTGGCGTAGTACTTGGCACACCACAGATGTTCATTAATACTTGTTTTTAAAAAACAAGCCCTTATAAAGCTTAGTCCCTTCAGCTGTATCACTGGCTCCCCATGATGTTGCCACCATCCTGGGGGAGCTCCACCTTGGTCTTGCAATTTGGTGTCCTCAAACTCAGAGAAATTCATCTCTGATCCTCTCCGGTCATCAGTGTTAGGCCCCACCTAAGACCTGTCAGACTTTCCCTCCCCTGCCTTTGGAGGAGTCGCCGTGAAAACTGAGAACCATATTCTTGCCCTTAACTTCCACTCCACCAATCGTGTGAAATAGTTCCCCCTGGTGGACGATCAATGCACATGCATGCTCTATATTCCCAGGGACACGAAGACTATTTTACTTTTTTTTTTTTTTGCGTGCGGAGCACAGGCTCCGGACGCGCAGGCTCAGCGGCCATGGCTCACGGGCCCAGCCGCTCCGCGGCATGTGGGATCTTCCCGGACCGGGGCACGAACCCGTGTCTCCTGCATCGGCAGGCGGACTCTCAACCACTGCGCCACCAGGGAAGCCCACGAAGACTATTTTGAAGTGCCCGGTAAAAAAGAATAATTCTTTCATTCAATAGACATTTCTTGTACTCCTGTTACGAGTCTGGCTTATCCGAAATTATTTTGAGGTGCACAGTTTCACACCAGTAGACATCAAACCAAAAAGGCAGTGACAATTCATGCTCCTGCTGTCTCTGCCAGAGTCAGCTGTTACGTAATAAACGCAGCAGGACTCTAGATTGGGCCTGATATGGGAAGAAGCTGGGCCAGTTCAACTCTGGAGGACTTCATCAGCGAAACTGAAGCAAAGCCAGTTTTGCATAAATTCATTCAACAAAATTCTACTGCACACCACACTTTATATGCCAGGCCCTGAGCTGGAAAAAGAAATGAATCAGACCCTGTCCCTGCCCTGAAGCTGCTCAGAGGGGAAGGCATTTAGGCAGGTAGTCACTAATACAGTGTGCATGTGCAGGACTCCCTCCCTCCCTCACGCACTCAACGAACACCTACCAAGGACCTAACATACGCTGGGGACTGTGCTGGGGGTATAAGGACAAAAACTATGAGAGCTGCACGGAAACTGTGCACAGTCTATGTAAAGGGAAGTTACCATTCTGGAGATAACTGCTTCAATGGAGGCAGGTGCTGGCGGGGAGGAGGGAGCAAGATGGTAAAAAGGAAGGAGGCTGACATTTGGGCAGGGGTGACGGCAGGTCAGGGAAGCCCTCAGAGAAGAAATGCTTAAGGTGGGAAGTGGCGGAATGGTCACTTTGCCACGTGGAAGTTGGGTGAGGGGAGGGAGGTCACAGCGCCACTCAATCTAGTCTCCTCGGGGCTGTTTGATTAAGCCTCCTGACATGATTCCACCGCCAGCTCACCCCCTTGCTCCAATGCCAGCAACACCTCTCTGCTGCTGGGCCTGACCTTGACTTAGATGCCTCTACCACTCCACCTGGCAACTCCTCCCCAGCTAGGAGGCTCTGCTCCAGCTGGTAACCGATTCCAACATAGCATTACTTCCCAACACAGGAGTCCATGTACCCCCGCAGGGGTCAAACAAATACAAAGTTGACAGTGCTGCTGAAGGAAAGATAAGGTGGGCATTCAATCTCAACGCTGCCTCCAAAAAACAATCTAGGCTGGGAGTGAGCGCCAGGCCTTTGCTGATCCCCAGGGTCTCACTTGTATACCTTAACCCTGGTACCGGCCTCCTCCCTCTGACCCTCCTAGGCTTCCTGGACCTGGGGCTCAGCCGGTCATCCTGCACAGAAATCCTGATATGTAGTGCCACCCAGACCCTTCCTGCCTTATGGGTCTCCCTGCCCTCGCCTCCTCGGCTGGGCCCATTCCCCCTTCATGTGCCATCTCACTCTCCACACCCAGGCCCTCCCCAGTCCTGTCCCTTCTCTCTCTTCCTGGGGCCTCTCTATCCTGCTAGATCAGCACATTCCATTTTGTTGTCTGAACAACTCCAGTCTAAAGTCTCCCTGTGGCTCTGGCCTGCTATTCCATCTGATGTTCAAGGTGCTCTATGATCTGGTCCTGGCCTACCCTCCTAGGTCTTCCTAGACCGAGACCGCTACCAAACCTCCACCAAATGATCTCCATGCCACTCCCCAGACACATCTTGTACTTCCCTGTGTCTGGGCCTTCCTTTACACCATTCCCCTTTCCAGAATGCCCTTCTCTGCTTTCTACCTTCCCATTTTTCAAGGCTCAGCTCGAATACCACCTTCCCAGAGAACCCTTCCTTGATCTCTCCTGTTGAAAACAGAATCTCCCTTCTCTGAACCATCGGAAGAGCAGGGAAGGAAATAACATCCTGGAAACACCTGCCATGTGCTGCATGTTAAAAGCACACGCTTTGGAGTCAGACAGATCTGGTTTGAGTCCGGTCAGCTGTGTAACTTTGGGAAGCATACTTAATCTCTCCGTGCTTCAGGGCTGTAGCTTGAAAAACATAAAAATGCCAACCCCCACCATTCATTCATTTGAACATCTGAATACCTAATATGTACCAGAATCTGTACTCTTGTGGTTATTTTGAGAATTAAATGGAGCAATGCATGGCAAGTGGCTGGCACATAGGCATACTCAATAAATGAAAACGTATTAATACTATCATTACCCAATCTGGTTTCTTAGAAGAACAGTCCTCAGGGTGATTTCTGTTTGGAGGGGAAATGCCACATAAGTCTGGGAACGAGAGCCAGCTCTGCACCCAGGCACATTCTGACAACTGCTAGAGCATGTGGCTGATTCCAGGCCCAGAATGTGACTGTCGTTTTCTGAATAACTTGCCCATCAGCACAGAGCCAGCACCTTCCGTCTGCCGAGGCTGCCTAGGACACTCACTCACTAAGGCTCTTTGTGAACGGGAGAAAACGTCTCAGAGCAAAGCTGCCTAGTTCTCATGGCCACCTTGTGCCGTCTGGAGCAGACCCGGCCGCCTCCCCTACCTTCATACTGGACTTCCGGGTGCACAGTGCGCAGCACCTTCAGCACGCAGTCCACAATGCTGGGGTGTGTTGTCCCGATGATCGACTGGCAAGAAAGACAGCAGGACAAGGTGGTTACTCTTTCCTTTCCGTCTAGTCCACCTGGGAGAAGTGAAAAGCTGACTTCCAAACAGCCGGGCAGCCTTAGCTGAATGGGGAGAGGGGGCCAGCAGTGAGTCACTGGGCCCTGGCCCCGCACCCGAGAGGTTAGTTTCTTTCTTTCTTTTTTTTTTTTAACATTATAGTCAATTTTTTGCATACTAGTAAGGAGGGAGAGCTCTCTCTCTCTTTTTAAAAATTAATTAATTATTTTGCCAGCGTTGGGTCTTCGTTGCTGCGCGTGGGCCCTCTCTAGTTGTGGCAAGCGGGGGCCACTCCTCGCTGCGGTGCGCAGGCCTCCCACCGTGGTGGCCTCCCCAGCTGTGGAGCACGGGCTCCAGGCACGCAGGCCCAGCAGTTGTGGCACGCAGGATCCTCCGGGACCAGGGATTGAACCCGTGTCCCCTGCATTTGGCAGGCGGATTCCCAACCACTGCGCCAGCAGGGAAGTCCGAAGTTAATTTCTTCTGGAGAGGAAGGGTGGAGACGGGCAGCCAGGAATCTCCAGAGACTCTGTCGAGGTTGCCACTGAACCCTCTGGCTCAGGAGGCACTCGGTGGAGGCTAGCTGGCCACTGCTAGAGGTTCAGGGACAAGTCGGCTATCTTGGCTGCAGGGAAGACAGGCACAGGCTGGAGAGAGTGGAACTCATCCAAAATCCTAAATCTTCTCTCTCTCAGGATCTCACCTAATCAGGCAACCCTCCTGTCTGTGTCTTCTACCCGTGCACTGGTTCCTGTCTTTTGGCATTAAACATTCTCAAGATCACCCAGATTGAAAGCGACCATCCTTCAACTCTGTCTCCTCTTGCTACTGCTCTTTCCCCCTTTACACCTAAGCTTCCCAGGGGAAGCTACTTCTTCATCCTCCATGCATCCTTTGACAGGTGGCTGTAATTTAATTTTTCCTGCCATCGGACAGTCCCCTAATTTACCAAAACTTTTCCTGCTGAGCTCAGCTTTCTGTTCTACCTGCACTGAATCTCTCTGCTGTATTTGAGCCAACTGATCATGTCCTTCTACTTTGATGTTTTAAAAATTAATTAATTTTTGGCTGTGTTGGGTCTTCGTTGCTGTGCGTGGGCTTTCTCTAGTTGTGGACAGCAGGGCCTACTCATTGCGGTGGCTTCTCTTGTTGGGGAGCACAGGCTCTAGGTGCCAGGGCTTCAGTAGTTGTGGTGCAAGGTCTTAGTTGCTCCTCAGCATGTGGGATCTTCCCGGACCAGGGATTGAACCCGTGTTCCCTGCATTGGCAGGTGGATTCTTAACCACTGCGCCACCAGGGAAGTCCATGTCCTTCTTCTTGAAACTCTTTTCCCTTACTTTTCACAGCCTTGTGTTTTCCTCTTCTCCTTTTATGGCTTATCATTCTTTTTCTTTTTTAATGTTTATTTTTTATTTATTTTTTCTTATTAGTCATCCATTTTATACACATCAGTGTATACATGTCAATCCCAATCTCCCAATTCATCCCACCCCCACCCCCACCCCCTGCCATCATTCTTTTTCAAGGAGGCAGAGTGGTATATGGAAAGAAGACTCTGGAGTTGAGTTGGATTTTAATGTTCACTTGGTATATATCTTCTACTTAGTGTGTGGCCTTGAATAAGTCACTGAACACCTTCCTAAGGCTTGTTAGCATCACCTTTAAAATGGGGATGATAATACCTGTCTCCATCAGCCTCTGTGAAGACTAAAGGAAACAGTGTAAGCAAGCCCTGAGCACAGTGCCTGGCATGTAGGAGGCACTTAATAAACGGAAACTGGAAACAATAATGATAATCAGATGTTTTGCTGATCTTCTTCCTCAGCTCATCTCTTAAATGCTGGCAGTGCTCCTTCTCTTCGTACTTGGCGTATTCTACCTGGGTGATCTTACTGACTTCTACTCTTTCGGATATCACTTCTCTGTTCATGAACTCCAAACTGCCATCTTCATCTCCGATCTCTCTCTGGAGCCTCAGATTTTTATTTTCTACTGTCCTGTGGGCATCTCTACTACACGTCCCGAGCAGTGATTCCTCAACTGAGCTAGGAATCAGAATTGCGTGGGGGAAACTTAAAGGCCACCCGCAAGCTGTCAAATTCCACAGGAGGGGAGCTCAGGGTTCAGTATTTTTTGCACAAGTCATCCATCTACATCTTCTGCAACCAGCTTGGCCTTCTCCTGAGATGGGCACTTGGGAGCCACCAAGGCTCATCAAGTTTATTGGGTCAAAACCTAAATCAGATCCGTTTTTCCTGTTCTCTTGGTGGCACACAACTCACCCCGTGGTCTAAGTCCAAAGCTGGCGTCTTCTTGACTCCTTTTCTTTTTTTTGTTTTTGTTTTTGTTTTTTGCGGTACGCGGGCCTCTCACTGTTGTGGCCTCTCCCGTTGCCGAGCACAGGCTCCAGACACGCAGGCTCAGCGGCCATGGCTCACGGGCCCAGCCGCTCCGCGGCACGTAGGATCCTCCCGGACCGGGGCACGAACCCGCGTCCCCTGCATCGGCAGGCGGACTCTCAACCACTGCGCCACCAGGGAAGCCCTTGACTCCTTTTCTTTTACTGCCCCAAGTCCCATACACTCTGCCTCCGAAACGTCTGTCCAACCTGGTCACCTTGATTTCTCCTGCCATGGTTCAGGCCGTATCATCCCTTTGGTCTCTTAACTGCCTCCCTGCCTCCAGCCCTTCCTGGAGCTGTACTACTGAGAGCTTTCGATGGTTCATCTCAAAACCTCTCTTGGAGCCTCTATTCCCTCCTTGTATGGTGTCTTCGTGTGGTCGCCATGCCCCAAAGCTGACTTTGCTGCATTCTAGGGCACCGAGAGGAAGGCAGAAGACAACGAGAGAAATGGAGGTTTCCCAAGCACCGGAGATCTGGCTTCTTTCTTCAGTTACATGCTGCCTACAAATGCACCAGGATTCTTTCCCTACCAAACTGACTCCTTTAATCTTTTCTACGGTCCTTTCATCAACCTTGCTGCTTGTCTCCACCACTTTTAAGTCTGCCAACGTCTTTCTGATCCTTAAGCAAACAGGACATATCACTCTGCTGGGAGACACGAACTCTCTGCCCTGCCCTGGCCTTCTGGAAGTAACGCTGATGGAGCAGCAGACACGCAGTGGGAGGCTGAGCTCTCTTTCTCATGCTTGCGTGGAGTGCAACTGTGGAAGGTAATTGTCAGATGACTGAGTTGGAATCAGAACCACCGGAGCATGCAGCCTGGGCTCACCTGGGCAGTCCTGAGGGTCTGCAGGGACAGCTGCTGAGCTTTCGGGGACGCACAGGGCAGCAAAGCTATTAGGCCTCTGTACACTTGATTCCGATACTTGGGATTACTGTGGATCAAAGACTCCAGCAGAACCTGCACTTCTTCCTGGGTCTCTTCTGACTTAGACTTTGCCAAGAACTCTGCTATGGATCGTACCCCTGAGCAAAGGAGAGAGGAAATGCTAAACCGGAAGGGGTTTATGAAAATAATCCTTACTCAAGGCTACATAATATGAGGGAATAGGATTAAGATGTATTTAACCAGGCCTGTCCAGTCAAAGCAAAATCGAGGCTCTGTTCTCATGTTGCATCGCTACTGTTTTCACCTCGTGCCTAGGTGGCTGGGGGATTTTGTTTCCACGTAGGCATGTTGTCAAAATCTGTTTTAAAATTTAAAATGGCTCTGCAAAATGCACAAATAAAACTTGCACTTTTGATTGCTGTATGATAACTAACACATAGATAGCGCTCAGCACTAAATGTTTTTTGACAAATACTACCTTATTTAGCCCTGGAAACTACACTGAGAGGGAGGTGTTGGTCCCTTTTTAGGATAAATACACCGAGGCTCAGAGAGGCCATGGGGGAGAAATGACGGAAGAGCAGTGAGGGAAGTGCTTTAAAGAGGGATGCGTGGGGGATGGCATCTCCTGTGCACACCTCAAGCAGACCACTTGGTGGGACATACTGAAATTACCGGGTTATTTCCTTTTCTCACGGCACTGTAAGCTCTTTGAGGACAAGGACTGTATTTTATTCATCTTTGTGTTCCCAGCACCTTAGCGTATACCTAGCACACATATTCAACGCTTTTAGTTCAATCTTATTTCTAGAGTTATTCATAAATGGCTCAACAAATCTTTGTTGAATGGATGCACGAAACAGGATATACTTGAAATGAAGTATTTCCAAAACCACCATGGAAAGATTTGAGCAAAAAATAAATCGAGACAATCGTAACTCTGGGTCTTCCGGTGGTGATCCAGACAGGAGCTAAGTGGGTCCACCCTACAGAACGCTTCCTGTGCAACCAGGTCCGTGATGCGTTTTCCTCTAGCAGTGCTGGGGGCAGCCCCCAGGGAGACAGGAGAAGTGACACTCTCGTTCTACGTGGTACCCACCATAGCTTTCACAGATGAGCTCCTTGTACTTTCTGCCAGAGTTTGAGATAACCTGAAGTAGCTTGATGGATTCCTTCTTGTCCTCCTCCTCGATCTCCTTCAGTGCAAGTATTTCCAAGAGTGTTAGGGCCCCACCAACCTCAAGAAATTCTATGAGATATCGATTACTGTCCAGAGGGATAGAAAAGTAGAAATAAGACATTGTCAAGTTCCTTGACACTAACCTTTCTAAGGGATCTCAAGGACCTTTCTTCATATACTCCTACCCAGGAAATGTTTGTGGGTAAAGTGACACAATAGTTTGGAAATGCTTCCTTCCAGAAGGAAATGCGGAAGTTAAATACAATGGCCATTTCCTGTGCTTGGATTTCCAGCATCTGTGTCTCTTCTTCTTGAAGGGCACCTCAACTGTCCCATGGGAGATCACCCTTCCACCACTCACGAGCCATGTGGTTTTGGGAGGGTAAGCAGGTGAAGGTGTGTCATCCTTCTGGCTGCAGTAATTGGTTTGGGGCCAGGCATGTGACCTAAGTTGGTCCAATGAGGCTCAAAACCTGGGACTTTCTTGGGAACGCTTGGGAAATACATGTTCTCTTTTTGGTGTGACTGAGCTAGAAGGGTGCATGTCTGGAGTACTGAGGACTACAACACATGGAGGCCTATGAAAGTAGAGGAAAACAGAGCTGAGAAATGGAGAAAAAGCGGGACAGACCAAATACTGAGAAATGGAGAAAAGCGGGACAGACCAAATACTGAGAAATGGTGGAAAAGCGGGAGAGACCAAGCACTGAGAAATGGAGAAAAAGTGGGAGAGAACAAGTACTGATGACATTTTTTGAGCCCCTGGATATAGTCAGGCCTGAAATATGGATTTCCACTCTCTGGACATTTCAGTTAAGTAGTCTAATAATTTCTACTTTTTCCTGGTCCAGTATGAGTCGGTTTTCTGTAATTCACAACCAAGAGGGTGCTGACTAGCAAAGTATCAATGGAGAACATGGGATGGAGGAGCAACTAGACCAGGACCACAGCTGCCACCACCTCTGGGTCCAACCTGAGGGCTTAGGTACCCACTGATAACTAGAAGCTAAGGTCCCATGTGGTGTGAATGTCAAGGATACCATGAGTCAGGTAGGCAACTGAGACCCCAGAATTTCGCTAGAACAGAACTCACCTGCTTACAGCTGATAAGAAGATGCCAATGGACCTGAGCAGCTTATCTAAACGTGAGCCAGTCATGTAGCTGTACGACAAGTTAAAGAGTGAATTTCAGGGTGGTTTTCCATCCTGTGTCTGATCCCTGATACCACCTATGGCCCAGGATGACCAACAGCTGAATTGTATCCTTTATCTGAGAGGGGCAACTAGGTTGAAGGGGTAGGGGCATGGGTGGTGGTGGCAGGCATGTTCATAGTTCTCCAGAAAGCTCTTCTGGGGTAGTTCAGCCACTTTGTCTCTAACATGCTCTCTAGAGAGTAAGAGGCGCTGATGAATGGAGGGTGCATGAAGAAAGCTGGGGGTCAATTTCTGAAGCTTCTCTGTGCCGTGACCATTGCACCCTTGGGCTCAGCCCAGTTCATTACTTTTTGCCTCATTCTTGGACTTCTCTAAAAATAATCAGCTTCATCATTAATTCTCAATTTTGTACTTGCTCAAAGCTTTATAATGGAGGTCACTATCTTTATGAAGAATTGTGTGTCTTCCTAATAAGAACAACAGGAGATGGTGGAAAAATTAAACTCTGATTTAAAACAACCCCAGTGCTTAATGTTATTTTTTAATGTGAGCTTTTGCAAAAAGCTTCGTTGTAATAAAGCACCCAGAGCACGCTTCAGCTCGGATACAAGGTATGAAATCAAGCCACAACAGAAGAGGAACCAGTCAACAATTACTAGGCTCATAACACATCACAGGCTCTTAGAACACTTAAGAAATTAGCTGAAATTATTGCAGCTCATGGAGGATGACTGAAAGCTTCCAAGACTGATAAAGGCTAATGTAATGGGTTGGAGGTAATGGTGCTTTGTTGGGGAGGGAGGGTGCATGAGGCAAATTATCTCGGCTGCACCCTGGTTCCCAGGATGCCAATAGAAGTAGAGACAGATTGGCTCATTAGAAAAGGCTCTTTACTGCAAAAACAGTGTTTGCTCTGGAGCCAGGCTCCCCTGCCTGTTGCCGTTTTAGCTGGGGGCCAGGCTGTCAGCCCACCACCCAGCTCCTCTGTAACCCCAGCCCCCATTTCTGCCTCCATGCCTTCTCAGTGCCTCTTTTCTTCAACTATCAGCGAGGCTGACCAACTTTCGTCACCTTCTTTTTCCTCTGTCCCAGGCTAGCCTTATTTTCATAACCACTTCATTATACATATTTCTGGCCCATTATTTCCAGCAATTAGTTCCAGAAGTTTGCCACGATATCAGCAGTAGCTAACAAGTACTAAGCATTTATTGTGTGCCAGGCACTGTGCTAACTGCTTCGCTGGCATTGTCTCATTTAACCCTCAGCGCACCCTGCAGTGGGTGCTATCAGTATTTCCACTTCCTTCATGAGGAAACAATCTCAGACAGTTTAAGGACCTGATCATGGTCCCAAGGTTAACTGATGGAACTGGGATTTGAACCTAGGCAGCCTAACTCAGAGTCCTGCTTCTTACTGTCAGCCCTTCCTGCCTACAGACAAACAGAGGGAGGGAGTGGGCTATTGACACAGATGGTGTTGGAGGTGGTACCGTGGCAGGGATTCACTGAAGTCGCCTGGATGGTGTATGGGCTTTGGAGCCAGACCACCCATTTTAATCCTTATCTCTGCCACCTGCTAGTAAATTATTCAACCTTTTCAAGGCTCATCTTTCTAATCTATAAAATGGGATGATACTGAATTCCCTGGTGGTCCAGTGGTTGGGATTCCATGCTTCCATTGCAGGGGCCGCAGGTTTGATCCTTGGTCGGGGAACTAAGATCCCACATGCCCCGGGGGGAGGCCAAAAAAAAAAAAAAAAAAAAAGTGGTGGTTGGGGGAATGATACCAATACCTATTAGGCCTGGTGTTAGGCTCAAATGAGATATTTGTGCTGTACACAGAGTTCAGTGCCTAGAGCATAAAAAGACTCAATACATGGTAACTAATAATTTTTGTTATTATAATATATAAATCTTTAGTTTTACTGATTGGTTCTAGAAGTTCAAGTTTAAAAAAGGGGTTTGAAGCTAATGTGGGATTAGGTGGCAGTCAATTTTACAAAACATAATGATACTATATTGATTTGTTTTCCTTCAAAATCCACCGTAACTGGAGGGGTGGGGAGGAGAAGTGGGGGTGGTCACTGATTCAAAATGCTATGTCTCTTCAGCCAGTCTCTTTTCTCTCCTGTATGACAAGGTCACAAAAAGTTAGGAAATTATGAACAATTCCAGGTGTAGAAACTGAATATACAACTGTATATTAAAAGCGTGGTTTGGGAGTTCCCTGGTGGCCTAATGGTTAGGATTCTGGGCTTTCACTGCTGTGGTCTGGGTTCAATCTCTGGTCAGGAACTGAGATCCCACGAGCCGCGCAGCGTGGCCAAAAAAAAAAAAAAAAGCGTGGCTCATTTAATAAACATTGGCTGAGTGTCCACTAAATGTTGGGTGCTCTGATTAGCACTTAGGACGTGGAGAAGAATGATACGATGCCTCAGTTAACAAGTGCAATGATTGAGTAAGAAAAGAAGAGGGCTTGGGCTTCCCTGGTGGTGCAGCGGTTACGAATCCGCCTGCCAATGCAGGGGACACGGGTTCGAGCCCTGGTCCGGGAAGATCCCACATGCCGCGGAGCAACTAAACCCATGCACCACAACTACTGAGCCCTCGTGCCCTAGAGCCTGTGCTCCGCAACAAGCAAAGCCACCGCAATGAGAAGCGCTCACACTGCAATGAAGAGTAGCCCCAGCTCTCCACAACTAGAGAAAGCCCGCACGCAGCAACGAAGACCCAATGCAGCCAAAAATAAATAAATAAATTAATTAATTTAATTAAATTTAAAAAGAAGAGGGCTGAACACAGAAATCTTAGAAACACTAATATTTAAGGGGTGGTAGGAAAGACCCTGCAACAGTGACTGAGAAACGGTGATGGGAGAAGGGAGAGAAGAGAAGAGCTTTTTTTTTTTTTTTACTTTTTATTTTTAAAAATATTTATTTATTTATTTTTTTGGCTGTGCCGGGTCTTAGTTGTGGCACATGGGATCTTCGTTGCAGCATGCGGGATCTTTAGTTGCTGCACGTGGGATCTTTTTAGTTGCAGCGTGTGGACTTCTTGGTTGTGGCAGGCGGACTCTTAGTTGCAGCATGGATACAGGATCTAGTTTCCAAACCAGGGATCAAACCTGGGACCCCTGCATTGGGAGTGTGGAGTCTCAACCAATGGACCACCAGGGAAGTCCAGAGAGGAGAGCTTTAGAAAGGGCAGTGGTCAAGCAGGGCTGGGACCAGGGTGTGAGGCGAGTGACTCACTTGCTTAAGGTATTAACTTTTTTTTTTTTGGCCGCGTGGCTTGTGGGATTTTAGTTCCCTGACCTGGGATTGAACCCGGGTCCTTGGCAGTGAAAGCGAGGAGTCCTAACCACTGGACTGTCAGGGAATGCCCTCAGGTATGAAATTTAAGGGGGCATCAAAATCTCAGTAACTAAATAATATTTCCTGCATTATTAAAAAAAGAAAAAATAATATAAAAATACACAATGAATAAAATATCAAAGTTTTAAATAAAGCTAGGATCTGACACTGCCTCACTCACGTCACCCTTTGGTCGAGTGGAAAATGTTGTCAAGTTAGTGACAACATTTTGGTGAGGTTGGTGTCATGAGTTATGGGGACAAAGCCAGATTGTAGATCCTGATGTTTTTCAAAGCACCACTTGTGGACCACTGGCATCAGAGTCAACCCAGGGCTCTTTTGAAAACTAAAGAGTCCTGACATACAGATGGCCAAGAGGCATATGAAAAGATGCTCAACATCACTAATTATTAGAGAAATGCAAATCAAAACTACAATGAGGTATCACCTCACACTGGTCAGAATGGCCATCATCAAAAATCTAAAAACAATAAATGCTGGAGAGGGTGTGGAGAAAAGGGAACCCTTTTGCACTGTTGGTGGGAATCTAAATTGATACAGCCACTATGGAGAACAGTATGGAGGTTCCTTAAAAAACTAAAAATAGAACTACCGTATGACCCAGCAATCCCACTACTGGGCATATACCCTGAGAAAACCATAATTCAAAAGGATACATGTACTCCAATGTTCATTGCAGCACTATTTACAATAGCCAGGATATGGAAACAATCTAAATGTCCAATGATAGATGAATGGATAAAGAAGATGTGGTACATATATACAATGGAATACTACTCAGCCATAAAAAGGAACAAGATTGGGTCATTTGTAGAGATGTGGATGGACCTAGAGTCTGTCATACAGAGTGAAGTAAGTCAGAAAGAGAAAAACAAATACCGTATATTAACGCATATATGTGGAATCTAGAAAAATGGTACAGATGAACCTATTTGTAGGGCAGGAAGAGAGACATAGATATAGAGAACGGATATGAGGACACAGAGCGGGGAGGGGAGGGTGGGATGAATTGGGAGATTAGGTTTGACATAAATACACTACCATGTGTAAAACAAAAAGCTGGGCTTCCCTGGTGGCACAATGGTTAAGAATCCGCCTGCCAATGCATGGTACATGGGTTCGAGCCCTGGTCTGGGAAGATCCCACATGCTGCGGAGCAACTAAGCCAGTGTGCCACAATTACTGAGCCTGCGCTCTAGAGCCTACGAGCCACAACTACTGAGCCTGCGTGTCACAACTACTGAGCCCGCACACCTAGAGCCCATGCTCCGCAGCAGAAGCCACCACAAAGAGAAGTCTGCACACCGCAATGAAGAGTAGCCCTGCTCGCCGCAACTAGAGAAAGCACGTGCGCAGCAACGAAGACCCAATGCAGCCAAAACAAAACAAACAAACAAAAAACCCAGATACCTAGTGGGAACCTGCTGTACAGCACAGAGAGCTCAGTTCAGTGCTCTGTGATGACCTAGATGGGTGGGATGGGGGGGCTTGGGAGGGAGGTCCAAGAGGGAAGGGATATAGCTATACATATAGCTGATTCATTTCATTGTACAGCAGAAACTAACACAACATTGTAAAGCAATTTTATTCTAATAAAAAAAACAATAAAATAAATAAATTAATTTTAAAACAGAAAAGAAAAATAAAGAGTCCAGGGACCCACCCTTAATCTACTAAATCAAAACCTGGTCGTGGGGTGGGGAGGCAGACTGGTTACCTGCATTTTAAACCTCTTTTATGCACATTAATGTCTGAGAATATTGGGGTTAACCCAGAGATGTATTCAGTGGATTCCCGTCAGACTGTGTTCAAGGCCTGAGTCTAATTAATAATTTAATCAATGATTAACTATAAGAAGAGAGAGCTGTGTTTACCTAAGCCTTTAGTTCTGCTTAGCTTCAGAGTCTCTGGTTCATTCATTCCGTTGTTCAACAGACATGTATTAAGTACCCATTATGTGCCAGGCACGTGTTAGGTGTTAGAAATACAGAGAGGAGTAGAACAGATGTAATTCCTGCCCTTGTAGAGCTTACAATCCAGTGGGGGAAGAGAGATATTAAGCACGTAATAACAAGATGTCATGACTATTAAAATAGAGGAAGTGCCCTGAGTATATTTAACAGGGGAACCTAAGCTAGTCTGGGGCTCTGAAAAGGGCTTCCTGAGAAAGTGATGCTTGGATTGAGACCTGAATAATGGAGTAGAAATTAGTTAAATAAAGAGGAGGTTTAGGGAAGGGAAGAGGGTTCAGGCAACGAGAAAAATACATAAGAAAAGGGTCTGAGATGAATCCATGGAGTGCTACGGGCATATGGAGCAGGAATATCCTGAAATCCACCCACGACTCAAATTATCACCATCATGGGGACCAAATCTGTCTTCAGCCCCAAGTCTGCTTCTGGGGCTCCAGAGCACAGGCACCTCAAACACAACATGTCCCAAATCAAACTTATCTACCCCCAGACTCACTCCTTTCCTTGTATTCTCTTCCCACGTAATGATGTCCCATTCGCCTAGTTTCCCAAGCCAGAAACGTGAGAGTCTGTGGGAGACAAGTGGAGGTGGCAGCTGGGTTAACAGGTATGGAGCTCAGATTCCAGAGAAATGTGGGCGGGGTACACATCTGAGAGTCCTCAAACTGGAGTGGTGTTGACATCCTGACAGTGGCTAGATCACTTAGGGAGAAGCTGAGAGCAAGCAGAAAAGAGGGCTGTGGCTGGAGGCCGGCAAACACCAACATTTAAGGCATGGCTGAAGAGGAGAAGGATGGACAGAAAGAAAGGAGAAAACCAAGAGAACTGGTATCAGAAACCACAGGAAGTGTGTGTGTGTGAGTGTGTGTGTGTGTGTGTGTGTGTGTGTGTGTGTGTGTGTGGTGATATGGTCTATATGTGCTTCTTTTTGCTTTCCTTCTCTCTCTCTCTCTCTCTTTTTATTGAGGTAAAATTGACATAAACATTACATTAGTTTCAGGGAAGAATGTTTTGAGAAGTGGGAATGGTTGGCTGACAAACGCCACTGAGAGGTCCTGTATAAGGTCTGAGGATGTGGTCACTAGGTTTCACAATTAGAAAAGCACTGGTAACCTTGGCAAGACCTGCGTCAGTGGAGTGGAGGGGACGGAAGTCAGGCTGCAGTGGGTGCAGGAGAAAGGGAGGCGGGGAAGGTCAACAGCCTTTTCAACAGGCTTCAGCACGAAGGGCAGAAGCAAGGTGGAATATAGGTTCCAGACAAGGATTGAATTAAAACCTTAAGGTGGAAGAGATTTGAGCATACATAAATGCTGATGAAAAAGCTGGTAATGAGGCAGAAGTGAAGGCTATAGGAGGGAACGAATAAAGTCCTTGGGGAGATGGGAGGGGATTCAAGCAGAACACAGAGTATTAGTCCTAGACAAGGAACACCCACTTCAACTCTGATGGGAGCAAGAGAGGTTAGCAGTGAGAAGGAGGATATCTTTATAGACTGGGAAGACGGGACGCTGAGGGAGTTCTTGACTTCAGGGATGGTATTTTGATCACTAGATGTCCTGCTCTAAAATCTGACTGAGAATCAGGAGAAGAGCTCCCTCGACTATCTTTGTTCCTTTTCTCTTTTGAAGATTGCCTGTTTGTTTTCCTGTTCAGCAAAGGATACGTGAGTCTAAGCCAGGTGGTCAAGCGGACCAGGAACAAGCTGGCTCCCTGGGAAAACTCCTGTTCCAGCTCAGGGGCAGTCTTGCCTTGGTTGGTTTCAATGAAATTGTTGAGGATGTGACTCCTTGCGACTTTGCCAGCATTGTCCCAATCCTGTAAAAAACTCAAGAGCCGGCTAATTGCTGCCTGCTCCTTGATAGAAGTCATGATCAGTGAGTCCTCAAGTTGGCTACAGAGGAGGGAAAACAGACAGGTTACCAAAGTATTCAGAACCATGCAAGGCCTGTAGTTACTCTGTGAGTTTTGCTTTTCCATCAATCATCTGGAGGCAGGGTGAGCCTCTGTCACCCTCATGGATGTAGTGACGTTCAAAATACACCTCTAGGACTGGTCACCTGCTACTTGAACAGGGAGGATCCAGCTGTGTTGTCATGGAATTAAGAATATACAATATAAATCTTTAGCTCTTTGGCTTCTCTGCTGGTGCCCGCAACTAAAAGGACCACAGGCTCCAGGTGAAATGCAGATGCTGCCTAAAACCATGGCCTCTCTCGGCCCTCACCTCACACAACATCAGAGCCTGGGCCTTAAGGACCCAGGCCCCTCCTACGCCAGTCAGCCAGAAAGGTAAAATGCTCCTTCATCTTGTACCTGTGGCCTTTAGACTCACTCTCTTAAAAACAACTTTTAAACAAAGTTAGTGGGAAGAAAACATTCTCATTCCATAGTTAGATTAACGGGCTGTGGTTTCTAGGAATCTGTGTCCTTGGGAGAGTGTTTTCAGTGGGGGAGGGAAGGTTTAAAATAAACCCGCTTTCCAAAAATAGTTGTGATTGAAAGTGTTATTATCCATAACAAATGTTAGTGCTGATAGGAGAGAGGCATGTGTGATTCTTCTGTCTAACAGACAAGTGAAAGTCATATTTCACATTATCATGGGGTTTTCTGTGCTTTACAGAATATTTGTGAAACATTACTTGCAGGGCCACGATTGATATGGAGAAAACAGCTTGTGCGTAGGGGAGATGTGTATTTCATGAAGACTGTTCAACGTGAAATTTACAGTCCCATGAAGTGCTTCTACATCTTCGCCAGAGATATAGTTAAAAGGACTTTACAGTCTGAAACATCTTAAAACTGATTCTAAGTTAACGTTTCCTCACATGTATTTGAGATATTGATGGGGCCCAACTCTCAGAATTTTATCAGGAAGCAATTGAGACATGCTAAGACAGACAGACGTACACACCAACCTCCACTGCTCCCCGGAGGACACCGGGTATGTGCTCCCAGGAAGGGCGTCCACGTAGCCTCAGGGATGGAGCCAGCTACAATGTCCTGTCAGCCTTAACAGCCAGGTGAATAACTGAGGATCAACCGAAACACAGAAATGACCAAAAGCCCTCATGGGATCAGGCATCAATCATTGTGAATGACATTACAGCCCTAAGTCTGAGAATAACTTACAGAGGCCATGGCCACCTTTAACGGCCAAACTGGACTCAAGAAAATGGGGATGAGTGGCTGTTCTAGACCCCAGGAAGGAGGGGTTGATACACCACCAACAGCAGGAAAGCAGCCTGTGCCCCTCCCCTGCCGTGGATGGACCGTTTCTAGGATCAAAACTCAAAGTGCTATCAGAGATGCACCCAACGATTCTAGAACACCAAGGGTGGGAAACTTTCAGCTGGATGCTCCATATTATGGCCCCTCGAGGTTTCCTTGGATCTGTCTTCCCCATCAGCTTTTTTTTTTTTAAACAGGAAAAGAAAACTGACAAATGGCAGCTTTAAAGTCATAGTGATACAGCTGTAAGTCGTACATACATAGTAAAGCACTGTGCAAGGTGCTGAGGGAGGTGTGAAGAGGCGCACCGCACTGCCCTGGCCTGGAGGAGCTCCAAATCTCGTAGCAGTGGGGAAGAACATGAGATTTAGAGTCAGACTGGGTTCAAGGCCCCACTGCCCACCTGACAAAGTAAAAAAGTAATAGTACCTGCCTCCCCCTTTTCCATCCTCCGTCTCACTCCAGAGGCAACCACTTTCAACTCTTTTGGCTATTTCTTCTGGTGCTACTTCTATTTGTCCAAATAATGAGTTTATACTACTTGCTATGGGCTGAATTCAACAAATCTATATGTTCAAGTCCTAATCCCCAGTGCCTCAGAATGTGACTCTATTTAGAGATAGGGTCTTTAAAGAGGTAATTAAGTTAAAATGAAGTCATCGGGGTGGGCCCTAATCCAACATAACTGGTATCCTTATAAGTGGAGATTAGGACACAGACACATAAAGAGGGAAGGCCATCTGAAGACACCAGAAGGTGGCCATCTGCAAGCAAAGGAGAGAGGCCTCAGAAGAAACCAATCCTGTGACACCTTGATCTTGGACACCTTTATCAGAGGTACAGAACTGTGAGATAATAAATTTCTGTTGTTTAAGCCATCTGGTCTGTGCCACTTTGTCATGGCAGCCCTAGCAAACTAATACATTACTATTATTTGGTTCGTCAATTTTAGGCACTATTTATTTCTAATTCTGAGGAATTAGCTCTCTTGCACCCTCTAACCCCCATTTTTCTCCCCTCATTCTCACAATATAGTTTTCCACAATTTATAGTTAAATCAATAGTTAGTGTTTACATTATTGACCAAGTAAATAAACACTGTTCATTCAAGCTGTAAACTACTATTACGTTTTCCTTCTCTTACAAGTTGGTTTTACCTGGAGTTAATAATTGTTTCTTTGTTCAATTGTTTAATTTTCTAAGTACTAGAGCTGTTTTCTTCCAAATATTCCAAACACATAGCAATGATCTTTCTGAATGTTCAACCCCTAACTGATCAGTCCCATCTTCTCCCTGGAGAACTCTGTCCCAAGGCCCTCTGTCTTTCTGCTCCAGTTTGGACTGGCTGCTTGCTAAGCTTGGCGTACAAATGTTGTCCTGGGATTTCCTTTTGCCTGTCTTCGCTATTGCCCTATTTCCTGGATCCACCTCGTCCTCTTTGGTTTACTCTCATTTTGTTGAATCACATTCTCCAGTAGCTTCCTAAGACATGAATTTTTTTCTGTGTCCTTGAAAATCTGAAAGTATTCTGACCTCATGTCAGATTGGTTGGGTGTGTAATTCCACGTTAGAACAAGCTTCCCTCGATTGAGCATCCCAGGGTTGCTTTTGAGAAATCTGACATCATTCTGATTTCTGTGCCTTTGTCTGTGGCTTGTTTTTTCACTCTTCATGCTTTGAAAACCTTTTCTGAAATTGTATGATGATATGCCTTGGTGCGGGTCTTTTTCAGTTATTATACTAAGCCTTCCATCCTGTGCCCTTCAGTTTTTGAAAATTTATTTAACAGGCAACAACTAGACTTTTCATTGAGAAACTCACAAATGTCAGTCAGTGGAGGGTTTTTTTTTTTTTTTTTTTTCTTTTTTCCCCACCTGGGGTTCTCAGGGCCTCTGGAGAAGAGTTTTCTACTTTCCCAGGGAGGATGAGAGGGTAAGGGTGCTAAGCGCCTGGCTGCTGGCATCCTGGGGGTGGGGTGGGGGAGGGACTAGGGCTGCCACCATGTAGTGTGTAAATCTTCCCTCCATCCCTCAGTTTTCCACCCTGTATCTCATCCCTGCCCTTCAAACCCTGCCTGAAGTCCCTAAGTATGGAGGCCTCCAGAGTTCCTCCTTATGCGGCAAGAGTTTAGAGTAGCCGTTTGGCTTTTGAGAGCAGAGCTCTGGGGCCGCAGCAAAGTGCTCTGCACGCAGACTCCAGCCAAGCCGCCATGTTTATTAGCCCTGTACCTCACTGCTGACCTTCTGGAGTCACTCATGCTTCCAAGGCATTAAGCGTCTTGGAGAGTAAGCTGGGTTAACTGATTTGCTTCTTGTTGGTAATCTCCCCTGGTTGACAGCTGGTCTGGAACTTCTTAGGATGTTTCAAGCCAGGTAACACTCCCCCACCTGCCTTCTACTTCCATATATCTGTTGACTTTCATCTGCTGTTGCTTCCTTCTCTGAGCTTTTGTAACTTAATACCTTTTATATTTCTTTAGTGTTAAGTCAGCAAGGTTTTGAGAGGTAGGGGGAAATACAGGGGGGCAGCCATGTTTAATCAAGAGACTACAGCCATATATTTATTTTAATCTCAACTTTTCTTCAAAATAAGATTTGATGATGATTGAAAAAAAACCCCTAAAACCTAATAAGTACAGTTTTAAAAAGAATTAAAGAAAGAAAACTGGGAAAAGGGGGGAAACGTACCACTTTCAAGAGTTCATGTTACATTCGTAGCCTTTATGACTCCCAAATCCATATTTTCAGCCTGGGCCTCCCTCCGAGGCTGAGAATATGATTAAATGACCACAGACGTCTTCCTTGGTAGGTTTCACACACTCTTCAGATCCATAAGTCCCAAACTGAATTCATCAAGCCCTCACCCCTGCTCCTTTCCCTATGTTGGTCCTATTTCAGTGACTGTTACCACTCTCCTAGTCACTCAAGAGCTATGTTGACGTATTCCCCTCCCTTGCCCTCCTCATCCCATCTGCTGCCAGGTTCTGCCAGTTATACCACCTAAATCTCCCTCAGATCAGTCTATTTAGCTTCATCTCCACTGCCACTGTTGTAGTTTACCCCCATCCCTCACGTGGATTGCTGCAGCAGCCTCCTAACTGATCTTCGGGTTTACCCCAACCTAATCTCCACAGTGATGCGACAGTCTTCTTTTTATATCATTAAAATAAAATGTGCTTTATTTTCTATACAATTTTTAAAGGATACACTCCATTTACAGTTATTACAAAATATTGGCTATATTCTCCAGGTAGTGATGTGAGATTCTTTAAAAAATGCAAATCGAGCATATTTCCCTGCTTAAAACTCTCCTGTTGCTCCCCATTACCCCTCTTCATTCAGGCCGAAGAACGTCTTCCATCTAAGTTTTGCTGCACCTTAAATATGAGTCTGTTCCCCCTACCCCGCCCCCCATGTCACTGCTTCCAGTAGGAACTAAGGGGAGGCTGCCAGCTTCCCCATGCTTCACACACCATTCTCTAAAGTTCTCATACTGCTGGGACTTCCCTGGTGGCGCAGTGGTTAAGAATCCGCCTGCCAATGCCGGGGACATGGATTCGAGCCCAGGTCCAGGAAGATCCCACATGCCACGGAGCAACTAAGCCCGTGCGCCACAACTACTGAGCCTGCGCTCTAGAGCCCTCGAGCCACAACTACTGAAGCCCGCGCGCCTAGAGCCCGTGCTCCGCAACAAGAGAAGCCACCTCAATGAGAAGCCCGTGCACCTCAACGAAGAGTAGCCTCTGCTCGCTGCAACTAGAGAAAGCCCGCACACAGCAACAAAGACTCAACACAGCCAAAAATAAATAAATTCATAAAAAAATAATAAAGTCCTCATACTGTTTCTCAATCATTTCTTTTCTTCTGAGGTCAGGCGTCCTGTACTTCCCCGTCTCCCTTGCCCCAGTGCTGATTTACTTGCCATACCCACTTGCACCCAAGTCCTCCCGTTTACCCATGAGCTGCTAGGCAATTTCAGCATCAACCTGTTCCATCTTCGTAATTTTGGCTAGCATCGTCCCTGGCACATCATGGATATTCAACAAGTGTTACTTAAATTGACATCCAACACACTGTGCTCATAATGAGCATTTTAATTTCCTTAATCTCACACAGTAATTAATTAAACAGATGTCCTGGGTGCCACTCCTAGCCAAGCACTGGGACTGGCATTGGTCAACATAACAAATATATTTTTTGCCCTCAAGGTGCTTACAACCCTGAGAAAACCATAATTCAGAAAGAGTCATGTACCACAATGTTCATTGCAGCTCTATTTACAATAGCCAGGACATGGAAGCAACCTAAGTGTACATCGACAGACGACAGGATAAAGAAGATGTGGCACATATATACTCAGCTGTAAAAAGAAACAAGTTATTTGTAGTGAGGTGGATGGACCTAGAGACTGTCACACAGAGTGAAGTAAGTCAGAAAGAGAAAAACAAATACTGTATGCTAACACATATATATGTATGTAATCTAAAAAAATAAGGTTCTGAACAACCTAGGGGCAGGACAGGAATAAAGACGCAGATGTAGAGAATGGACTTGCGGACATGGGGAAGGGGAAGGGTAAGCAGGACGAAGTGAGAGAGTGGCATGGAGTGGCCAAATGTAAAATAGATGGCTAGTGGGAAGCAGCCACATAGAACAGGGAGATCAGCTCAGTGCTTTGTGACCACCTAGAGGGGTGGGATAGGGAGGGTGGGAGGGAGACGCAAGAGGGAGGAGATATGGGGACATATGTATATGTATAGCTGATTCACTTCGTTATAAAGCAGAAACCAACACACCATTG